AGCACGTGTGAATTGTCCAGAAACAACACTCTGTGGTTAAGACTGAGTGACCAAACGTGGACCTTAAGTGTTTTAATATTTTTTTTCACCAGAAAAACAAACTAATTAACTTCACATATAAAGCCTAACTTGAAACTCAGATGAGTTTTTAAATTGTGTTACAACAGGGCTATTCAACTGGCAGCCCATGGGCCAGATGACTTCTGTCTGGCCAGCCAATGGTCATCATCACCATTAATCCATCATAGGGCTGAACAATTAATCTCATTTGTGATTATCTCACAATACGTTAAAACAAGGTTTTCTATAGGCTGCAATTTGACTGGTCATGTGACTTGGGAGTGAGCCGAGCGGAGCAGTGTTTCTAACTTAGCGACATTGTTGCTAGACCTAGCAGCTTTTCAGACCCCTCTAGTGCCTCTTTTTTTCCCCTAAAAGCAACTAGCAAAAAATCTGGCGACTATTCCTCATGTTTTTGGAGACTTTTAGGAGCTTTGGTGACAGCACTTTTCTCCTTTTCTACCTCATGAGTGGTGCCGTGAGCCCCTCCCCCTTCCTAAAGCAGTCCGACTGAAGCCTCATGCAGCAGCGTGCACACACACACACACACACATAGCTGCAATCAGCTGAGAGGAGAGAGCTGCAAATGAATCTTGCCACTGCTCTTGCCTTGTTTCTAAAGTGGGAAATAATATTTAATATAATGTGTTTTTCTCTGGTATTTTCTCTGTAAAATAATGCCCCGTTTCCATTAGTACCTACTTAGCACGACTCAGCTTGGCTCAGCACGGTTCCATGCCGTTTCCATAAATCTCTGGACCCAGCTGTGTTTGACTCACAGACTCACTTCTTCACCTCGTCCTCCCTGTGCCTCGTGACATCTAACRGTCTGCAAGTTAAATTTAAGATTATCACTAATTTAGTTTATGTAATGTGGATCTAAGCATTAAAGCCATAAAATTATTTTATTTCATTAAGTTTGATTACAGTTTTAAACATATTTAGTGTCTTTCTTTACTTTTTTTCTCTTTAACATCTCTCCTATTGCTCAGATCACAATCATTGGCAAACATGTTAGGTGATGATGTAATCTAGCAACTTGCGTTTGATTTTCCTAGAAAATAACAAGTTGGTTATTCTCTTTATGGTTTTTGCACTTTATTTTTTCATTATGTTACTGGCTGGAAAACAGTACGCTTTATTCTTTTTAAATTTATATATTTTTTTCTATTTATTTATAGACTGTCCTGTGAAGTTCAGACAGTGTTTAGGAAATTCACTTAACATGTTTAATATCGTGTTTCATGAAAAAATGGTGAAATGGTGAAAAGGTAAAGCCACAGATTTGTTTGCTTTATTGTWATCTGTGCTTTAAATAAATCTTACTTTGTTTATCATAAAACAGACTGATTTATTGCTTCTGTTTGAGAAGACGTTTAAAAAATTGCATATTAAATCGCAATAGCAATTTATAGATAAAAAAATCGCAATTAGATTATTTTCCAAAATCGTGCAGCCCTAATCCATCATCATCATCATCAATCCTCTTTCAGTTGTAAATCTGTTTGTTGCCATTAAGTCCCAAGTAAGAGTTTTGATCGGACCTAAAAAGTCCAAAACGACTCGGGCMCATAGACATTGTGTYCGAGCCTGATCCTACCCAACTAAGTGACTCTAAACAGAAGCTCAAACASCAAGTAAAGAGAAGGCTGAAAGCCTGAAGTAAACCCAACATTGATTTTAATTACCAGTAAGCTTTGTTTTTAGACCATTTGAGKTTTTAATGAAATCAGATCGGAGCAKGGCCACGTGTGCATTAGTTGTGCAGTGCACAGCACCTAATATCTGAAACAGATTACTTTTTATTTTACAGTGCGAGGTTCATGTTGTTGAAAATGGTCCAGTCCAACAGATAAGAAGGTTGTTAAATTAGCAAGATGGGCAGTGACRCAATATTTCTAGTTACATACAAGARAATATTGAAATTTACTGTGGTAGKCTTATTAATGTGACACAGAAGCCTAAGCCTGACCCGACCATCAAGCGTAAAACTAGTCCCAAGACCTGGTGGAAGCACAGAAATGTCATCGCTGGCTTACCTTAATGTTGACAGTTTTGACTCTGTTACAACCTTAAATGTGGCACAAAGGACGTCAGGACGTCAGTTGGCTTCAATCATCCTTTACCACCTCGTTCCATTAGATCAAACTGAGGCAACCAGAAGGTGTCTAAGTCTTAGTTTGGTGTCTTTAGTAAAAGTCTACGATGTTTTATTGGGTTTCTTTGGGTGGATGTGAGTGGTAAGGGAGTTGTCCTCTAACCAAAGAGTTGGCGGTTTGATTCCCCACTTTTCAATCATATGACRAAATGTCCCTGGGCAAGATACTGAACCACCTCTAATGTGTGTCCCATCAGTGAATGAATATGATTTAAAGCACTGATTAGTCTCCAAAGGATGATTTGGGACATCTATGGTGTAGTGGTAGAGCAGCCAGCTTGGGACCAGAAAGTCAGGTTTGACTCCCCACCATGCCCACATATTCGTCGTGTCCTTGAGCAAGACACCKAACCCCCAAATGCTCCGCGGGAGCTTACATAGCTGCCCAYTGCTCCACTTGGGTGTTTCTCACGTGTGATGGGTCAAATGAAGAGCACAAATCTCATCATTGTACAGGAAAATGCATTGATGATGAATAAAATACCTTTACCTTTTACCCTTTTGTACATGTTATCTTTGTAGAGACATAGGAGTAGAGTAYTGTGTGAGTGGGTAAATGAGGGCACAGGTTGTAGTGTAAAGTGCTTTGAGTATCCTGGTTGGATAAAAAGGTGTTATACAAGTACAGTCCATTTACCATTTTAATTTAAGTTTTCAGTATGAGGAACAGAAAAGCACCTGATCAAACACACAATGGTGGATGACAGTAACTGAAGGTGTTCAGATAGTTTGTCAWAAAGCCAGCAAGTGTGTCGTTTTTTTGTTTCTTCTTTTCCCTAAAAAGACTTGGGTACGTAGAAGATGAGTCAAGACTTTTCCATGAAATAAACAATAGTTAAACTTTAGCGAGTGAATCTTTGTCACAAACAAGTGCAGCTGAACAAAAGTTCCAGTCAACAGATTCTTCTGAGGCGTCAGAGATGACATGTTGGCCTCCAAACTGCGACAAAGATAACATTTCATACAGTACGATGAAAWGGAAGGGCTGGGAAGTCAGTGACAGTCATCATACCATGTTTGCTGCTCCAGAGGTCCACTGACTATAGGGTGGTTAAATGAACTCRTTAGTCCAGAAAATGCATGTGAAGCCATGCATTTTTGAAGGGTTTAGCGTGGGGCTTTTAAAGGTCAGGACTGCCTTATTTGCTGGCATMGCAGCTCTGTCCAAAGCAGAACAGATGTCATTTGTTTACCTGCAGGGAAACAGAGCAAGCAACATTGATGTCTGCTCCGTTCGTGGCTCAGGTGGCAGATAATGTTTATAGGAAGAGGCGCTCAGAAGAAATCTGGCTCGCAGCAATCGAATGGAGTAATGAAAGCAATAGAATGTAAAGTGAGGGGCAATGCAATCTCTAGTCAAATGTCCTAGCTGGTGATGATGTTGGAATGATTTCGGTGGGACCGGGCAGGGGCTGAAAAATAATCACAGTCAAATAGAGGCTGCTGCAATAAGCAACTGCACCTGCTGTAAACGGCCACTTTCTGCATCAGAACCCTTACAGCTCCAAGCTTCGGGATTTCCAGGTTCTGATTTTTTGTTTGGTTTTGTTTGAAAACAGAGACTTTTAACCTTTTTTCTTAAAAGATATCAGTGGTTCAGACAGGGATAGAATCAACGCATCATGTTTAACTTGATATTACTAAAACAAAATCTGAATTTCTTATTGAAGTGCAGATAACCAAAATGCATCATGAAGAATACAAAAGGAATAAGTGCTCATGCATCGATCGGTGACATTCTTGCTGCCAGCTCCAGATACATTATGACTTCCCCGGCGGGTCAYAAGGAGGTCTCCTTCCATCCAGACATATTGTACAAAAGGCCTCATCTGAGAAGCACAGAAGCTAGATCCTTGACTGTAGCCCAAAATCCCTTAACTGGCTTTTTATGATATGAACTTTGAGTCTTTCTTCCATGCAGTCAAAGTGCAGCCTGCTGGTCCCAGCATGATAAAGCCAAAAGGACCATGTTGTTTTAAAAAGTAAAGATGTAATCTTAAGCTGCTGTCCTTTTGGCACCTAGAAACTCTCTCCATAAAAGGCATGAACAGTGACACAAAGCAGGATCTGAAGGGAATTTAACACCAAAAGATGTTTGACATTTTGATTACATTTTTGAAAGTTTATTACAAGTCAAGTCCTAATTCTCTGGTAATTTTCACAAAAATCATAAAAAAAACCTTTCAGGTTGTTGTAATGTCATTGCTTTACAAAGCACTAAAACCCATCCAGTCACTGCAAGTTTCTTACAAAAGCCCACAAATGGAGGAAATCATCTAAAATACTTTCCTCATTCTAACATAATTTGACATGTAGACAAGGCAMAGCTCTACACTGAACTCCCAAAATGCAACGCAACCCCCCCATAATTTAKTTTTTAACATTTTCAACAAAAATTAAATCAGGCAAGACTCACATTAATAAAACACTGAGCCAGAGYGGAACAACAAGCTAGAAAGTAAAGAGGATGCTGAGACTAAATTTGGAGATTAGACAGCATACACCGGAGCATCTATWATTCATGTGATTGTTTGCGGCTGCGCTGACTGCTCATCTGATTGCTACACCGCTGAGGCCTTGTGCCGATATTTGCATGGAGAGAAAAACATTTGAGAAAAAAAAAAAATCTAACCAACTCTCGTTCCTTAGCAACAACAGAGCGGGGAGTTTCAAGGAACATGGCCTTTTGTGTGTGTGTGTGTGTGTGTGTGTGTGTGCGTGTGTGTGTGTGTGTGTGTGTGTGCGTGTGTGTGTGTGTGAGGGTCCAGCTAATTGTACTTACTTATTTTGCATCATGTTCATTATGATCCAGTCGGAGGGGTAGACGTTTTTCCCAATGAGATCTTTAAACATGATGAATGTTTCCATTAGGAAATCCTGCATGAGAAAAAAAGTTTTCAAAAACAAAATTTGTTTTTTTTTAATCAAAAGGATAAGAGCAAACCTGAAATAAAAGATATATATATATATATTTAAAAAAGGTGGGAGTTTGTGGCCTTCAGGCAGAAACAGCTTTTGATTAGTTTTTAAGGTCAAGGACATGACTGGGAGCTATTTCCTCTTTTTAAAGTTGAACTCAAAATTGATAATCTGGAACATTTTTAAAGTGTAGAAGCGATAATGAAATGAAAATATAATTATTTGACAGGAGCATGATTTATCTAGTAGTTAGAGAACATTACTAAAACAAATATTAGGCCATCAAAGTCAAAATGACTTTTTTTAAGTTGTCCTTTTTTACGAAGTCATGAAAACAGCAGACTTTTCCCTTTGTTTTATATAAACTCTACACATTTAGCTTTCTTTCTTTGCCATTCCCACATTATACAGAGTTCTTTTCAACTCAAGACCAGATAAATACCTTCAGCATAAATATGCATGTAAATCTATTTCTGTCTGGAGTCGTTTACTCCTGGATAAACTAATCCCTGAGCGTTGTGGTTGGTTAACACAAGGAGAAAAAAAAACTGCAGAACAATAAAGTCATTTGGTTCGTATGTAGTTCTGTAATGTATTTATGGCTCACAACTTTCTCGTCAGCTAAAGAAAAAACAATTCTCTGATAAAAAATCAGCTTCTTTGTCGAGATTCTAAAATGGAAATAAATAAGTAGCTGTAAATACATCCTTTACACCAGAGATTCTTAACCTATGGGCCGAGCGCCACCTTGAGGGCCTCAAAAGAACAACAGTTTTTAACTTTGGGCCGCAGAGGGCCGTGGGACCGCACTGATTTTGAAAAACGTGCAATACACTTTCTCACCACTAGTAGCAGTAGTGCGCCTCTCAGATGTTTAACAACTTTTTAATATGTAGAAGAAGAACCTTAGATACCTACCAAAAATGGAAACTTATTTGTACGTATCAAATATATTTTTACAGGTTTTTTGTATTTCAAACATTTACATTAAACATTCTAAATTTTTTCATTGTATGCTGAAAATTTTATTTATTGAACTGTCTATTTTTGTTATTGTTTATGTTAAAAATGTTATTTTTGTGTTGATAAGTTGATAAGGTCTGTTGACTGTCCTTTGTATTTGTTAAAATAACTGTTATGGGCAGGTTACAATATAAAAAATGTTTGTCAATCACATCTTGTGATTATGTGACAGGATTTTTACTTTTAAAATGTAAGTATTTAATTTAGTTATAATGCAAATACAATAAAAATTAAACCAAGATTTAGGATAATTATCATTTTGATCCGTATGGTAATATCTGACTGGGCCTTGTGCCAYTTTATGTTCAATAACTTGGGCCCCAAAGCCAAAAAGGTTAAGAAGCCCTCCTTTACACAACTATGAAGTTCAAAAACCGCTAAAATTTTTATTTATGCTTTCTGATACTTTTAATTTTGCTTCCTTTTTAAAAATCTTTCCAGTATTGTTAAAAAAATGTAGGCTGTCCATATATAATATGAAACCCAATAAAAAAAAGCCTCAACTCAAGGTCTTCTTTATTTATTAATCTCTACCTGAAATACTAAACAGATTCTAGTCCTTCCTTCAAAGCTCCTGATTCACCGGCACTGTGAGTTTCCTTATTGTCGGAGTGGCGTAATAGAATGCTAATCTGGCAGCTGATAGTAGAGGAATGCTGCTTCGAGGGCAGGATTATTCAAAGCTGAAATCCAAAACCGCTGAAATTTATCCCTCCTACGCTACGAGTCGCCTGCAACAAGTGATCCTTTTTCTCAGCTGCAACTAAGCGTATGAGCATAGCGTTTGTGCGGAAGCCCACAGGCAAGGACTCGAAGAAATTCAATTTATATGTTATTAAAAGGAAAATAGGAACTTCGTATAATCTTTGATTTTCAGGAAAGACAAAAGAAAACATGACTTTGAGCAACAAGTGAGGACTCCAGGTTACTATATGAGAATGTAAGGTGTACTCACCACCACATCACTCCTTATCTTGCCAAAGGTGCTGATCAGATGAGCGTAATGATAGTCATCCATCTGTCTCAGTGTAGCAGTCATGCAGGCCACAAAGCTGCCCTGCAGAAGGGAAAGAAGTGCATTCAATAAACAATCTCATTTGAAATCGAGGGCTGAGGACAGAACGGCCGAGCTGATTGGAGACGGAGGCTGAAGCAGGCTTTGGCCTTCCTGGTTTGACAAGGTGGGTGACCTCACTGGGTGGATGATCTCATTAACCATCAACTCCCCTGCTCTTTGTCTTCCCTGATTAAAACAACCCCCCGTGAGCTACCCAAAGTGCTGTTTTTGCCCCGCAGCGCGCCGTCCTGGCTCTGGTTCCAGGAGCAGAGTGTAAATTTGCTGCCAAGGCAAAGTAAGAGAAAGCCAATGTGTGGCTGGCTGGGTGCAAAGAGGTTGCTACTGCCTGTCTGTTGTCATTTCTTTGACACAAATGGACAAAGACTGATGCTTTCAGGATTTAAAAAAAAAGAGTGATAACGACTGAGAGTGTAAGCAAATTTATCGGAGGAGCTTGTCCTGACCATTAGCGTAACAAGAGGATGAGACACTGCAAGAAATTCAGTCGTGAGTAATTACTCGGGAGATTTATGCAGAGAATCAAGATAATCAGCTAGCAAGAGACAATTACAGGAACAAAAAGAAAAGCAGAGAGGTAGTTGGAGAAAAGACGTTATTTGCTAATAACTGAAAAAAGATGCAGGAGTAATTAAAAATATGTATAAAAGATAAGTTACATAATTAACCGTAATGTTTTTTTAAGAAAAAGATCATACTGTTCTCATCTTTCCCTAAGAAGTTTTACAATTCGCAAAACTTAATTTGTAACTAAAGCCAAACTAAAACATTGTTGGATTCATTAAAAGTCATTCAAGTACTTGAACGACTTCTGGACTTTTTAAATTAGTAAAAAGTCCAGCAACCCTTGAAGGTAAACGTATCGCCTGCTGTCTTTCATGCCAAAAACATTACTGCTCCACCGTTGCCATTCAGCAGAAAAGATATGTTTTCTGACAAGGTGATAGTGAAGCTGTTTTTGTAGGAAAAACAAGAAAATATCAAACTCTGATGCACGCAAGATTTCTGACTCGCATTTTGATGTCAAAATGTTTCATGGAAAAGGTTACCGAACATCTAAAGAGACAGTATCAGAAAATCAAGCTGGAGTTTTAATTTGTGTTTATTATGAATATTACACACAGCATATTAACGCAAAGTCACCAACACATTCTCTGGAATATAATATAAAATATGTAAAGTCAGCAAACAAGCAGTTTTCTCACACTTCTTACTCTCCTAACAAAAGGAAAGAAGATCCCAAATCTCAAGGATCCAGATAACCTCCTGCACTGTATCACTGAGGCTGGGTGGATTTTACAGCCAGAGCAGCATTATTCAAAGACTTGGGAGCCACTTTATTAATAAAAGGAACAAGGTCTTCAAAGCAGCCAACAATCTTAAGAAGTCACTGGCGACTTCTGCAGCAACCACCCAGAACAGAGGGGAGCTACATTAGCTGAAGGGTATCCCACTTTTGCTCAATCCTCTCTATTCCTTCAACCATGAACGCATCCCCGAGATTAAAAGCCGTTGGCAAACTTTACTCGTTGTAAGGGACTTGCCAAAAGGCTCCAAGGCAGAATACAGTAGCATAAGTCCCTTAAGCTTATTCGCGAATTTCAATCAAGGCTGCCAGCAGAGAATAGATACTTTAACAGATGTTATTTTATTCTTGTAGCACAGTGAGAGGGTTCAATGTGAACTTGATGCTGGAGGCATTGGTGTCAACTCCTGATAAAGTAAATACAAATAAACTTTCGCAAATATTCACATAGTTTGCTGCAGCTATTAGTGTATGTGGCACAACAGTAGGTATGGTTGGCCAGTTCCGTTAAAAGGACACAATGTGTTTGGAGGAAACCAGAAAAACTCTGATGTACTTAAAGCCAGGCTGTCCTCTCACGGCTCATCCTCTCACTTTTCCTATACCTGCCGTGCTACCATGACAACTCTTTCATCCCCCCATTTTTTTAAACAGGTGGGAGGTGAAGGATGAAAGGTAGGTCGTACAAAGCCGTCTTGGGGAAAGAAAAATTTGAAAACTAATAAAAGAAATAGATATGGGATCCATCAATTCTGTCTTTCATTTAGTGAAGATGGCATGTGAGGGACGGAAGCAACAAAGGGTAGTTGTTGAGGAAAACCAGCAGAAATATTACTTCAGCCGCCTACACGGTTGGAGGGACAATGGCTCAGTGGTTAGCACTGATGCCTCACAGCCAGAAGGTCCAGGGTTCAATCGCCGTTTTGGACTTGGAGTCTTCCTGTGCAGAGTTTGCTTGTTCTCCTTGTRCTTGTGTGGGTTTTCTCCGGGTACTTCGGTTCTCTTTCAAACCTCAGTATTCAGAGAACCTGGGTTAGCTCCATAACCTTAAGTTTTCCTGACAGACTAAAAACATTTATAGGTTGCTTTCAGGTCAAGTCCCCCCTTACAAAACAGATCTGTGATCTCAATGAGGTTCGCCTGGTTAACTAAAGGCTAATAAACAAAGAGAACATACACAGCTAAACAAAAAAAATGAAGCATGACGCAAGAAACATAAATAGAGAGAACTCCTGCATGTAAGTACAAGTAATCTTTAAGTGTCTGAATTGCATTTGGCACTAAACTCACAAACATTTAAACTAATAGAGCTACTACTGTGGAGAAAAAAACACTAAAAGAGCAAAATAAAAAAAATGAATTAATCATCATAATTTGATGACCACTAACAGGGCTATCGTCAATCTTCTGCTGAAACAATTTCTGTAGATAAACAGCAAAGAAAAAAAAAGTTTGCTCTTGATATCAATCATCGGGTTGAGACGCTGCAGATTTCCCAAACCCCTCGACTCAATTTCCATCTTGTGCGCAATGATAAACCAGAGCAAATTTTTGTTGACATGAAAAATCTGTGATTGGGGGGCAGTGCTAGATGCATTCTAGTTCCCTTCTCTCACAAAGTTTGTCTTACCTGCACCTGACAGGAGAGGGAAAATAAAAGAAATGACGTTTGCTCTTGGTGTGAAGACTTTCTGCCTTGGTGCAGCATTTTTTTAAGCCAGTAGTATTGTTTTAATTAAGCCAGCAGGGAAATGGCACATCACTCTATAGTGAGCCATGTCCTGAACCTCACCACGTATTTGAAGAGAAGAAAAATGACATGGAAGTGGAGAGAGAAGAAGAAGAACAGGAAGGTTTGATGAGCAAATAGAGTCAAAATGACTTCCCTATTCTCTCTATTAACACTCAGCCTAATGCAGTACAAATTTGCTGGCTCATTACAATGAAAATTAAACAAACAACATGCAAAGAMATTTAAATTGAGGATGGAGACACTTTTTGTGTAAACAGAGATAATGCTGTGCACAGCATTTTTTTTAATGAAAACGAGACAACCAGCAGATTTTTAAGCAAAACTTTAACCCTTGTTGCTGAAAAAAGTTTTTATCATGACTGCATCTGCAACATCCCCACAGACGATTATAAAAAATGGATGAAATTGCAAAATTTTAGAAAAACATGGTTATTAATAAATGTGTCCAACTAGACTTTTGCCTTTTTTGTTACATTTAAAACGCTATAAATAAAAAATAAGTTACTTACTATTATTTAAAGTGCAAGTGGCATCAAAATTTTGTAACAAATATGAATGTATTATTGGAAAGACAACATTGAGAACATATTGCAAAAAAATTATAATAATTCACACCACTGAGATGAATAGTTGTTGAGATATTTGCATGTGAAGTAACAGGAAGTGATGTCAAAGGGGAATGTCTGCATGTGAACAGAGCGATGCTGCAACAGCCAACAACTCAGACTATAGAGAAGAATCTGATGTTTCTTTAGATTATTTTGAGTCACTACCAGAGAGATAATGTTCAAATATTGTTTCAACAAACAAAGACCAGAGAGTTTTCTTTCTTAAAGGGTTCCCCTTTSATATCACTTCCTGTTTCATTGTGGTAGACAAAAGTTCAAAAGAAAATATGCGTTAAGTGACAAAACGAGTAAAATGATGTGTATTATGTCAAATTTATTAAATATAAAGATGTTTTCTCTGACTTTTTGTATTTAAATCCATGTCACAGGAACTTCGAGATGGAAAAACAAGTCACCGCTAAGAAGTACAATTAATTAAAACTTTAGATATCCAGAGAAAACAACAGCAGCATTACCATCTTATGTTATGAGAATTTTTTTTAAAAATAACATTTTTCGAGCTTAGAGACTAAATGAAACTATTAAACTCACACATGCATACGCAAATGGAAGAAGCAAAGTACAGAACGGCAGTGGTTTTAACATTTTTACACTGGCTTGTTAAAACCAGGCTGAGCTGACACGTACACCGCACTGCACTCGACCACTTCTGCATGATTCAGCAGGCCAACCTGGCTCCAACACRAGGCAGACAACCAGGATTCTCTTCCAGTTGGAATGAGTGTGGAAACTGTTAAAAGGCCGAGTGAAAGCGTCGAGTTTTCATTTTATGGTAGTAGTTACTGTTATCCATCATGTTCCATCGAACCCTGTGAACATCACACAACACTTCCACACGTTATTACACCATGGCATCACACTTGCTTGAGCCAAACATTTAATTTATACAGAGGACTGCAGCAGCCATTGAGTGAAGGACACTTTGTTTCACTGGGAAGCTCTCTGTGCCCCGTGCCAAGCATGCATCATCCACTGAAGGGGAAAAAGATGTTACTGACCAGCGTGGCAGATTGGGTGGATGTACTAGAGCATGATGGGGACTGTGAGGGTCAATAATGTGCTGAATTGTCTTGATACTCTGGGTCAGAACCATCATACAATATTCTAGATGAATGCMGTCGAAATCGACCCTTCAGAAGTCACCGTGCAAAATCCTAAACTGGGCACGTACTGATGAAGACTTTGTTTTGTCTTCTATACTGATCCTGGTTAGTATAAGTGGAGGGTCTACCAATATATATTATGAATATACAACCTATAAAGTACAAAATTCTATTTCATGTACTTGGTACCT